GCCCGGGGAAAGGTCAATGGGGGAAAAAAAAGGAGACATATATACTACTATTTCTAAAACTTTAAACAAGAAAATAAAATTTAGGGAGGGAGGAGGAGGTCTGTCAGTTGCCTGGGAGAAGGGGGAGGAGCTCTGGCGTGGAGGGGCCAATAGTGGGGGTGGCTGCGTGGGTCGCCATGGGGACAGGGCTATTCCTGAGGAGGCTGTGATGAGTTGACAGGTGTGTGACAGTGGGAGCTGCTCTCGGCACAAGCATATAGGGCAAAGGCAAGAGTAACAGCAGCGCCATCCCGTCCCACAGCCAGGCCCGGGAGAATTCTAACTAATGCATTGAAGATTGACTATTTTATATTGTCTAACTGCTTCAGAAAGAACTGAAGGAGGTGACAGTATGAAATGAGAACCGAACTATAATTTGAAATCAGTAACTCCATTATTAATATTTTTATATAATGGGGTACAAGAAATGTTTCATTGAAAAAAAATGCTGCTCCTTTCAATAAAACTTTAAAATAAAAAAAGAAAAGAAAATTTAAAAATAAATGAATAAATGTTATCATAGTAAAAATAAATAAATAAATAAAATAAAATCTCTAGCTGGATTGGCTCAGTGGATAGAGCATTTACCTGAGGACTGAAGGGTCCCAGGTTCAATTCCAATCAAGGGCACATGCTCAGGTTGCAGGTTTAATCCTTGGGGGGGCAAGCAGGAGGCAGCCAATCAATGATTCTCTCTTATCATTGATGTTTCTCTCTCTCTCCCTCTATGAATTTAATAAAAATATATTTAAAAGTAATAATAATAAGATTTCCAAACTGAGTACATTTAAATTTTAGAGGCACATTATAAATCTCTACATTTTAGAAATGATTGTATGAAAATATAATCCCACCCTACATTTTAAACAATTCAAAGGACTATTTACACTACAGACTATGTGAATTCCTAGTTTTTCCAGATTTCCTTTCCAAGAATGCATAACAGTAAAAAGTTGTTTTCAACCTTCATGTGCAGAAACACACTGATCTGCCAATGTAACTAACTTTAATACTGAAGGTTTCCCAAATGCATACTACACTTAACCTCTACTCTATAGGTAATCTCAATTTTATTATGAAAACAGTTACACATTAGTTTTGTTTATATCAATTCTCTCTCTTCTCATCACACTGTTCTGAAATTCCAAAGTTTTCATTAAGTATACATTATCAAAGTGACAACTTTTATATCTTACCAGTATTTTTTCAGAGAATAAATCTTGTATTCCGGACTTTGGCATAAAGGCCTGGTCATCTTCAGATGACATAACTGAAAGAAAACAAATTTTCAGTTTTGACAACCAGGTGAGTGCACTTTGAAGTTACCACCAATATAGGCCAAGTGACATTTTTGAGTACTCCAAGAGCCATTGAAGGATTCAATGAAAGTTCAAGATAAGTACAATGAGGAAAATTCACATCAAGGAGGGACAGAGTTGCTTACATTTGCCAATGATACCTGCTCAAACCCCCTGGCACACAATGGCAACATTATAAAAACACTCCCAACTCCCAGTTTTTTCACTGGAGAGAGATGAGGGAAGTACATGTTCAATGGTCTACCTGTTTTGAAGCATCTTGAACAACAAGTGTCTGTTGTGCATGACAGAGTGTGAACAGAATGGCAATACACAGTAAGTGACCTGTAGAGGCTGCTACAAAGAAACAATGAGAAAGTGTTCGAGCACCACAAAGACTGAGGTACTGAAGATGTATATTAACTCTGAAAAGATATCATGTGTCTGAGAAGAAAACAGAGAACATTTCCAACTGGGAAATTAAAGACAACTGAACCAAGAACAGAGAACATTTCCAACTGGGAAATTAAACAGACAACTGAACCAACAATAGAGATACAGTGGGGCCTTGACTTACGAGTTGAATTCGTTCCTCGTCGGAGCTCGTAACTCAAATTACTCGTATGTCAAATCATTAAAGTGAACGAGTGAGACACGTGATGCTGGGCTGATGTTGTGGCGTTCACTATGACGTTCGCTGCGCCAACTAGCGGTGGGGTATCTGAAGCTGGCTCATAACCTGAATTTTAGCTCGCAACTCAAAGCAAAAAATCGGCCGAGAGACGGCTCCTATCTCAAAAAACTCGTTAGTCGGGACACTCGTTAGTAAAGGCCCCACTGTACTGAAAAGAGTGTTGACCAAAAGTAGAATTTGTCCCATAGATGGTTATTATTTGTTTCTTCTTATAAAAAGCATGTTCAAAAGCCTGCTACTTTACAATTCAGGAATCTCAACAAAAGATATCAAGTCATGAAAAAAAAAGTGTACCGTCAGGAAAACAAAACAAATATATTCAAACTGGCACTACATTAATGGAAATATATTAATTACCTCAAAAAGAATGGGAAATAAATATCTTAATGCTGGAAAGAAGGAAAAAAAAGACAACTATTTAATATCACCAAAATATTATATCATCAAAATAAAAATACAATGAGAAAATATTTTACAAACATCACACCGAAAGGAGAAATTGAAATTCATAATACCCAAATTAAAAAATACAGTAGATGCCCTAACCGGTTTGGCTCAGTGGATAGAGCGTCGGCCTGCTGACTGAAGGGTCCCAGGTTCGATTCCGGTCAAGGGCATGTACCTGGGTTGTGGGCACATTACTAGCAGGGAGTGTGCAGGAGGCAGCTGATCGATGTTTCTCTTTCATTGATGTTTCTAACTCTCTATCCCTCTCCCTTCCTCTCTGTAAAAAATCAATAAAATATATTAAAAAAAATAAAAATAAATACAGTAGAATCATAAATGAAAGACGTGATCAACTCAAAACATCAACGAATTTGCCTGCTAGTGGTGGCTCAGTGGTAGAGCTTCAACCTATGAATTAGGAAATCACAGTTTGGCTCCACATCAGGGCACAGGCCTGGGTTAAAGGCTTAATCCCCAAATGTACAGGAGGCAGCTCATCGATGATTCTCTCTCTTCACTGATGTTTCTATTTCTCTCTCCCTCTCCTTTCCTCTTTGAAATCAATACAGATACATTTAAAATTAGTAATGAAATAATCAAAACATTTGTACATAAAGCATTAAAATTTTGATTCAGAGAAGTCTACAAATATGTGGAAATGTGAAGAGAATTTAAGGAACTCCTAAGACACTAACAAATCGACCATCAAGGCAACCCCATAGAGACAGAACAGTGAAAAGGAGTAGGTAGCTTATATAAAGTGACATACAAATGCAAGTAGCTCACTGACTTCTAAGTAGGATAAATATAAACATGAGAACAGAAAAAAAACAATGAAAATATCATGAGTCCCAGAATATTTTCTCAAAACATATAAAAAAAATAATTCCTGCCGAAACCGGTTTGGCTCAGTGAATAGAGCGTCGGCCTGCGGACTGAAAAAAAACAATGAAAATATCATGAGTCCCAGAATATTTTCTCAAAACATATAAAAAAATAATTCCTTATGGAAAAGACACCTCCTCTAAGTTATTAAGGGGTTTTCTAAGCAGAAAACTATTGGGGGGGAAAGGGCACGAATAAAACAAGGAACTGATGAATGAACAAAAACCACCCAAAAAGAATGTTGACAGAATAGATGATAAACAACAGCGAGGAAAAAACTTTTCCATCTCCAAAACTTTTTTATTATTAGACTGGCCCTATAAAAAATCCGTAACAAATATATTTCTGGGGGTAATTTAAAAATTCTAGACAACACTAACATATGAACAAATAAAGATGCCTTGTATGTGGAAAAATATACAGAAATGTAAAAATTTGTGGTGTTCTATTAAAGAAACACATATCAATTTGATTTCTCTTGTGTAACTTTAGAAAATAAAAGGAATTGTCTGACCTGAGTGGCTCAGTAGTTAAGCGTCTATCTGTGAATCAGGAGGTCACAGTTTGATCCCCGGTCAGGGCACATGCCTGTGTTTCGGGCTCATTCCCCAGTGTGGGGTGTGCAGGAGGTGGCCAATCAATGATTCTCTCTCATCATGGATATTTCTTTCTCTTTTCCCATCTCATTCTTCTCGAAATTAATATAAAAAAATGTATTTATAAAAAATAAATAAAATCTTAAATCTCTTCTATAAGACAAACAACATCAAAGATAATGTGAAATCAACTTACGTGGGTACATGGGTAGAAATGTCAATCAGCAGAGATTTGTATGCAATTGACATTATGAGTTTAAGATACATTGTTATAACCTTAAGATATTTTAAGTAATTCTCATGCTTTCAACAAAAAATAGAAAATAAACAAAATCTCTGCTAATAAGTGACAGAATTCTGTATTGCAAATCAGATTCCACATTTCTAAAAATATATACACACTAGTGGCCCAGTGCACGAAATCCATGCACTTGGAGGGGGGAGTTCCCTCAGTCCAGCCTGCACCCTCTCCAATCGTGGACCCCTTGGGGGATGTCTGATCCCTAAACAGCAGTCGGACATCCTTCTCGTAATCTGGGATCACTGGCTCCTAACCGCTCACCTGCCTGCCTGCATGATCACCCCTAACTACCTCTGCCTGCCTGCCTGCCTAATCGCCCCTAACTGCCCTCCCCAGCCGGCCTGATCTTGCCCCCACCTGCCCTCACCTGCCAGCCTGATCTTGCCCCCAACTACCCTCCCCTGCTGGCCTGATCACCCCTAACTGCCTCTGCCTTGACCTCCACCACCAGGGCTTTGTCCAGAAGGAAGTCAGACGTCCAGAAGATGGACAGTCAACCCGGGCTAATTAGCATATTACCCTTTTATTAGAATAGATATCTATAGCCCTGGCTGGTTTGGCTCAGTGGATAGAGTGTCGGCCTGAAGACGGAAGGGTCCTGGGTTCGATTGCAGTCAAGGACACATGCCTGGGTTGTGGGCTCGATCCCCAGTGGGGGGCGTGTAGGAGGTAACCAACCAATGATTCTCTCTCATCATTGATGTTTCTCTCTCTC